GCCGCTTTTCTAGCGCATGCGCGTTGGTGGAGCTATGGAACCAACGACGTACGTCACGTCGTATATTGGATGCAAAAGTTTTGTTTTGATAGGCTCAGCATTCAGGAGGATAAGCAGATCAACAAGAGTATCAATTTAATTAATATGTATATAATAGATCCTAATATTGCAAAAGGAGCTATTAAAAAACAAATGTTGATACTATATGTAATATTTCTCTCCAAAGTTAAATATTTTATTTTATATTGACAATATGTTTGAAAAATTATTGTTTTTTCCTCTTTCAGCTTAATTGTAGCGTAAAATTTGTATTAAATATATTATTTTTATTAAATTCATATGTGATAAGTGATGTGCGTGCTTGTACGTATGTATAATGTGTGTGTGCGTGTGATGTGGGTACACATGTATATACATATATATATATATACATATGTGTAGCAGTATATTTAGCATATATATGTACGTATCTTATATTCTTTCAATTTTTAAAAATATTCAGAAAATGTTTTAAGGAGATGCTAAAGTCGTCCTACTTTCCATCATTTCCATTGGGTGAAAAATCTTCGAATTGGATTTACGGATTGCAAAATTATTATTACAGAATTAAAGTATTAGTAAAAGTAACTTTTGTTTGAAACATTTTTCAAAATAACCATTGCACTTCTCTCGTTTTAAATGGAATATATGGGTGGTCTGAAACACCCGGTATATATATGTATACAGGGTGGAACAGTAACTCTGTCCATCTAGAATTAAGATGTCTTATATGATGTGTTAAAGCAATCTTTTTATTTTGAATTTGTATGAGGAATCATCTTAAGATCTTTTATACGTATTTATATAGTATATACATCCTCTATATATAGCGCGCGTACATATGTGTAATTTTTTCATAGTATATGTACAGAAATCTGTACAATAAATTATCATATTTTGACTGACGACAAGTGAACTCGACGTATCACCAAATTAATCGATCAAAGATCGTTGTCCAGTATCTTCCGGTTATATACCATATCTCACGAGAGTTGATCGCGCCTTCTTGCCGTACGAACAGTGCCGAGTCACGTGATCGAATCTACTGCAATGACATTCAGTTTGGACCGTGTGCGGGACGTAGGTTATTAAGCGAGACCTGTTATTAAAGTCCCTCTTTCTCTCTCTTGTTGCCCTGCAGGTCGCCCTCCCGACCATAAAACTCTCCTCCCCCTCTACCATTCCCATCCCTTTCCGAATGCCGTACCTTCACCAAACCAGAGGAGCGGCTTTGTTGATTTAAGGCGATAATACGGGGCTGCAAGAGATTTTATGAAAAAAAAGGAAGTAAAAGCACAAGGCCGGCGCGCTTATAATTACAGATTCGCATTGTCCTGGAACCCCCTTAAACCCTCCTTAACTATCGCCGCCTGTCAGTCCCGCTCCTCCTCCCCTCCACCCTTTCACTCTCAACTTGAAAATGATTTTGTAACATAAGGGCGCGAATACCGCGTTGCGAAGTGATCATTAACTACCGCGGCGCGTTCCTAGCATTTAATTATTTATTCCACTACCATGTAGCAATAGCATTTTATGATTCGTTCCCATCAATATACGCGCGAATAACGTTTAATTATATACAGGGTGTCCAGAAATTCACGAATCAGAATATCATAGTAAGAAAGTTCTCGAAAAAATAAATTATAATAGTGATTGCTATTTTTCGTTTAGAGCAGTAATTTTTGAAATATAAGAGTTTAAAAACAGACCAATTGTAGATTAAGGAAATGCTGGAATGATCAAATTGTCGGGACATTGCAGATCAACAAAAATCTCCGAATTTACTGAACAGAATCAAAAATCCTTTTACAGGATTAAAATAGAGGTGCAAAATTGGGAGGTGCTGCAGTGAATTTTATACTAAAATCGAAAAAAAAATTAAAAACTTACATTTTTCAACTCGTAGAGATGTCATCTGACATAAATGTTTCCTTAATACAAATGTTTTATAGCTCGTATCGACAAAACGACAGTTTAGCACCCAGCGTTTTACGTGCACAAACAATACTGAGTTTATGAAATTGAGATTAAAACCTTAAAAAGAAAGATTTAAATCGATCTGCAAATTACGTGTATACGAATGCTGAGCGAAGACTCAAAATGATAAACAAAGTAGTAATTTTGTCTAGTAGATGTTCGATCTTGCAAGAGATGGCGTTGCAATATGTTAGATAAGGACACATGTATGCGCTTATGGCTCCTGCACACTGGACGCGGAAACGCTTGCCGCGCGGCAAAATGCGACGCGGTAACCAATGAACATGTTAGGAGCTGTAAGCTTATTGGCTACCGCGTCGTATTTTGCCGCGCGGTAAGCGTTTCCGCGTTCAGTGTGCAGAAGCCATTAGTTGAGTGAGACAGAACGATAATACAAGAAATAAATTAAAGATGTCACTATTATCGACTTATTTTATTCGGAATTTAAAAAATCTGTACTATCGACAACGATCAAGTTTGGCCGTTATTCTAGCATTCCCTTGAAGATGTCACTATTATCGACTTTTTTTATTTGGAATTTAAAAAACCTGTACTATCGACATCGATCAAGTTAAACGATTATAACTATAAACAAACGTAGCGAACAAAATAAATTTAAAATTCACTGGAATTATATCACTACACTAATTTGTATACGACAATATTAATTGAAAATCGCAATAAGATTTGAATAGTCGCAATTAAAGAGTCATATAAATACATGCCATTAAATTTATTACACTATTTATAATTTTATAATCATTTTAATCTTATACATATTCATTTTCTTGTTTTCCTTAATTTCCTGCAAGTAAACTAAAAGTTCTATTGATTATTTATTTCTTCCCTGGTGAAAATTTTTCTCAGAACTTTTCATATAATTTTTCAGAGTTTCTATATAATTTTTAAAACTTTCTCACTTTTTTTATACAAATTGGAACACTTTTCAGAAAATCTACATCTTTTCTCAAAGTTTTCCATGTAAGTTAATTATAAAATATCATAAGAGAGAGAGAGAGAGAGAGATTTCTAAGATTTTTTATAAGTATAATTTCTGATGAAATGTTATAAAATCTAAAAAATTAAAAAATATTTTTTTAATTATATGAGATGAGAAATCTCAGAATATTTCAGACTTCACATGTATGAAAAATTCTGAGAGTAGATGCAAATTTTCCGAATATTTCTGAGTATTTCTGAAAAATGTTCCAATTCGTATAAAAATTATGAGAACAATTTTCACCTGGGTTATCATCCACTTATTCATTAATTATCTTAAAAAAATATCAATTACTTTCCTCGTTAAAATTTATAATAGAAACCATTAGATGCAGATATAACATTTGTAAGAATCGAATCGTATTCTGTTTTAAGATCCGGGTCATATACTGGTCTTACTTATACTGTGCCCGGGTTTTCTTACATATCTAAGATATGTCATCATATCTATTATTTATATATTTTCAAAACATTATGTTAAATTATAAATAGATTCATGAGAATATAATAAATGCTATCCGGGCACGTTAAGTGTCTGCTTTACTATGATCCCGTTCATTATATTCATTACAGCTCGTTTCGTGCTGAAACGTTTCGTTTTTTCCATGAAACAAGAGAATAAGTATGTTAAACTTTAGCTGCATATACTTTTAAATATCTTAAATCGTAACACGCACTTTTGGATGCATTGGTTCATATTGCATATAATTATTGGGTAATTGCGCTGATAATATATTCATTTTTCATAAATAATTTTGAATAGATTTTTATAGGATTTTTAAAGTCTTTTTCGTAATGATATACTTGGCCAGTTGTATTGATTTCATACTTATTTTTTAATATTTAAATCTGTGAGAAAGGGAAAGATTAATTTTTCAAGGCTGAAACTCTGCGAAGATTTATTAGTACAAATTCTCTCTAAGAAGGACCTTTGAAGGGAAAGAAGACTTAATTTACGTTTATAATTATCTCCGGAGTGATTTCTCACGCCGGGAAAATCGCCGAAGCAAACCGAGACACAAATCTCCGTTGTGTCTTAACAGTCTACGAACGACGGTGTTTCTTCAACTATACTAAATCGACCGATCATAGCTTCATCAGTCTTCCATGGATAAACGCTTAGCCGCATCTGAGAGATTCTACAGATACGAGGAAATCAGGTACTGAAAAAGGCCTACTCTGATGGTCGTGTTAACAGCCGAGACTCATAAAAATATTTAAAGTGACCAAGAGAGAAAAAGGAAAATAAGGGGGAGGGGAGAGAGAGAGAGAGAGCGAGAGGATGACACTCCGTATCTTTTTCGTCTTCTTTCCCTCTCTCCCTTTTCCTTTTCTCCCAAAAGTGTCAATTTGATGCTGTATGATGTCAAATGTGATATAGTTTCAAATTTAACTATTGTTATTGAGAAGGAGCAGTGGCGACTTAAATTAGGTCAAATTTGATACTATATATAGATTTAATAGTGCAAATTTCAATATGCAAAAAATAAATAAAATATAGTCCAGGTTTTGTTTAGCAAAAAAATTATTGTTAAAGGTTTCGCAAGTGTAC